TTTTTTTTGTCCAATAGCACTGCAATAGTTATTACTTACAACACAAACTTGCATGGGAAAATGCATCGAAGTAGTTGCATTTCGTTATAGCTTATCTGGATTAGTCTTTCTTTTTTTGGAGAGCTATGCCTTTTTTTACTTAGGCTCCCGAGGTGCTGACCTATGGTGGTATGGCAGAAGATGGGCGATATCGTGGCTATGGTAGAGCAGTGGACATCTGGAGTATTGGATGCGTTGTTTTGCAGATGGTATTGATAGTTTACAAATATCTCTAGATTGAAACATGAAAGACGAATTTTTAGAGCACTGGTAGGGCGCCATGGCCAGATATGCATCCATTCCAGATCACTATGCGGGTGATTATTATTTAAATAATTTGCTTATCTTGAAGGTTTTTGCTTTTCCAAATTGCCTAAAACTGAAATTTTCAAACCTTTTTTTGATGCAACACTTTACAGGTTTGCCAAGGAGGATTACCAGCCTACCCCGTACCCATAGGACCACTTTTGAAGCATTTCCTAGATAGCTGCTTCGTTTTTGACCCAGATAAAAGGAAGTCCGCCCAACAACTTTTACAGGATCCGTTTGCGAACCTACATGTAGGTGGCTGAGTGATTCTGGGACGTCAATCTATATTTGCATTCTTTGATTTTTTTCCTGTGGACTGCCGCGCCTCATCTCCTCGAAATTTTGCAAGAATTACATGTTTTTCTTTTCATTTTCGGAAGGCGCGAAAGTTGGAACAGGAACAGAGTAAAAAGATTCGCAACAAATGATCTTCTACTTAGGTTGATTCGGATTCTGTCCTGCAATCAGTCACCCAACTGGACAGCTCAGCTGATGAAAGCATTGATCCAGCCTCTGCCAGTGGTAGTGGCGGCAGCACTAGAGACAATACAAACAGTGGATAGCGACGATTTTCAGTCCAAATAGGTCATTGAATATCATAGTTTAGTTGTTTGTACATAAATTAGTGAAATAATTCGTATCAAAATAGATTGTGATTGAAATTGTTCAACTT